TCTCTCATGAATAAATAAATAAAATCTTTTAAAAAAAATGCCTGAAATTTATAATATGCTTTCTAAAATGGTTGTAAATGTGGGAATTAGTGAGCTTTACTTGCATAATATTCTGGTATCAGACTTTAACTTGAGTCATCCTTCCCATGTTCCATATTAACAGGTCAAGGAATTCCAAAGTCTAAAATATGTTTGTTGGAGTCTAGTATATTTATTCTGTAGTCTATTTCATATCAGTGACACACTGGGAATAACCACAGTCTTCCAGTCAAGTGACACTTTTGCAAATATGGAATTTAAAAACTATTTTCATTCACATCCTGACAATTAAGTATCTTGCTTTTATCCCAGAGTCATCACTAAATCATATGGTATTTGGTTCTATTACAGTTACCTGTGTTGGAAGATCATATGGAATAGAATAGCTTTAATAAAAGTGAATGTTTGGGTTCCTTTAAAGACTACATCTTTATATCTCTAAAATTCATAGCCAAATGTCTAATTTTATCATATTGCAACCATCAAACATTTGACACTTGGGGACTTATTCCAATGGAGCAGGACATGGACTTGAGTTTAAGAGCAGAACTTCCATATTTTTCAGGGAAATTTGAATAATAATGTTGCACTGAGTCTTGGTAAGGGATTTGCTTTATAAGTCACTTTTACCAAAAATTTGGAATGAGGGCCTAAACAAAGTAATAAGGTAAAAAAAAAACCAACTCATTTTAAGGACAATAATTACATGATGGGGGAATGGAAAGATAGGAGAAAGAGATGCTGCAAATCAGATTATATCACAGAAACACAATACCTGAGTATTGAAACAATTCAATTTAATTGTGAAGATAAAACAACTATCCATTTTTGGAAGGGAATTGAGATGTCTGGGTCTAGTTAAATATGGTTCATTTCATACTCAGTTTGAATTCTAGAAATGGCAGAACTGGTGAATGAGGAGCTAAGTCCCAGCCAAGGATTAACTTTGCTGTTAAATAAAAAACACAGGAAAATGAGGCAGGATTGACAAATATCTGACTCCTGACTGCTGCTTACATTCTCTTGAACTGATTATGCAATCATACAATTTCTGCTTCATGAATGTCTTAATTTTTTCCACTTCATAAAAACATTTTAAGTCATCAAGAATAAGAAATGATATGGTGATATCTATTTAGCAGGAAGTAAAGATGCACCGTCTGAGTGCACAAAATTATGTAAGCCTGTTA